TCATATGTGTTCAATGTAGCAGTGCTCTGATTCGCCGGCTTATATGAGGAGACTGCTTATTCCGCTTTCGATTCGGATTTTAAAAGACGGAGTTTGTTGAACTGGATGAGCTGTCCCGACTGTCGGCGAATGGCAAATCAAGACGTCCCAACCTCAAAACTCTGTGCATTATAAGAAAAAGAAAACACACTGTCCAGTCGGGAGTGTAGCATGAATTCATAACGTTTGTTTGCGCAGTCTGATTTACTACATTAAACAGCGACTCCATTTCACGAAAGACGAGGTTCAGGGTGCGTTCACACCTGTCAATCGATTCAGTTGTTCCGAAACCGGGATTAAAATTCTCACAGTGTTGCTCTTTGCTCTTGGTGCGGTTCGCTTTCACACGGTAGAGTTTCTAAACGGACCAAAAGAGCTAAAACAAGTCACGTGTGAGTAAACTCTCCTCACATTGGTCAGTTTCCGGTCAGCTGTCAGGGGGTGGTAGTGGTTTGGTGGTGTTTGACAGGGTGCCTGCGACGTGTCTGAAGAGCGTGGACGGATGCGGTGAGGAGGGGTGAGAAGGGTGCACGACATTGGAGATTTCTTAATTATGTCGTTTGACATGCAGTGACAAACAGTCAAATACTTCGCCGAACAGATCAACACTTTTGGTGCTCATAAACCATCATAAAGCCCTCATGCTGCAGGAATGAGGAGGTCTGCTGAAGGTGCAGCTGTCGTGCAGTGAGGGGTCTGCGTATTTAATAAACTACGGCAGTTTGCGTTCATTGAACAGTAAGAATGATTAATAAATCCATATCAAACAGTCCCGTAAAAGTTATCTCATCTTCAGTTCCAGGCTTAGGCGTGTTTTGCACTCACACACAAGCGTACCACGCCAAAGCCCAAGTGAACAGTGCTTGATTTAGAGCACTCACACTTCTCAAATGATCCGGGTAACGGGCCTGGGCACGGTTTGGATAGCATAGTGTGAGTAGGCCCTAATATTATGAGCTGT